TTTTTTTTTTTTTTTTTTTTTTTTCAATTAGGAAAAACTACCTTGATCAAAGCCTTGACTGGGGAAGCCGGGCTTCAACCTAGACATCAGCTGTTTGCCACTCTTGATATTACAGCCCATGCTGGCTATCTGCCCTCACATATGACAGTTGTTTATGTTGACACCATTGGGTTTCTGACTGATCTTCCACATAATCTGGTTGAGTCCTTTTCAGCTACATTAGAAGAAGTGGCTTACTCAGTAAGTAGTTGACTATAAAATTTGAGAAATCAGATCAATTTCCTTTTAGATGATCCGCACCCCTTCAAAAAAGGGGAAGTTAATTGGCATGCTGTTCTTCATGAAGTATCTGGCTGACTGTAGTAGTCTCCTAAGATCATAAGGTAAATATTTTACCATAAGCCAATTTTCTTGTACTCGAAATTACACAGAACATACAGATAGGAAGAGATTTCAGAAAGGATTTATTTGGAGTATATGTGTCATTCTCCATGATACATAAACCAGATAAATCAGATTTTGCTGATTAAATATCTGAAAACCTAATCAGTGCATCTGAATAAGTTGAGGCTAGCTTTCTTGAGAGTTAAAAATGAAATAAAGCCTCTGGAATGATCTGGTTTTAACTTAAGGCTTCCTATAGCACTACAAGTGGGTGATTGTGATCTGATGCAGGCAGCATGTAATAAACATAAATGTACTTTTCCAATCATTTTCTCATTAAGGTGAGTTTTCTGTGTTATAGCAAAGTGTAAAGCTGCATACACACAGACATTTAAAGGAAAAGCCTGTATCATCAAAGGTAATGAAATTCAGTGGTAGCCAGATGCCAGAATGCTTCTGAGGGTTAGACTTCACACGTAATAAGGCTCTCAAAAGCTGGCTGCAGCCATCCTGTTTGTCACTTATTCTGAAGTGTTAAATGAAAGGCAAGAAATTTGCTTCTCACTAATTTTCAGAAGTTTGAAGCAGTTGAAGCAAAGATGATGAAACATTTCGAATACAAATATTTAATTTGGTTGCTTGGTTTTTATCATGGCAAACATGATTGTGTTACATACTTGAAACTGATAACTTTTGTATAAAGCTTTCTAAGTGAAGCACCAGTAATAGTATCCTGGGAGCTAAGGGTAATCTTCTGCATTTTGAATGTAAAAATAGAATTACAACTTACATGGAGTTCCCCCTCCCCCATTTTTGAAGCAGCTTTTCAGCCATTACTCTTCTAAAACTTAGAGTTCACTCTCTCTTCTCCAGTATTTTTGAAGCCTTATTGTTACACGGCCTTGGCGTTGAAAAATCCCATCAGTTATTATTTGAAATCTGAATTTTGTAACTGGCTTGATTGACAGAGTTTGTTTCAAGGTTGTTGGAGGCGATTCATACTCACTGTGAAGTGAAAGACTAAGCTGCTATGGATTTTCTTCCTTCATGGTGCAAAACCCAGTATTGGTTTAATACTGTTTCAATGGTTCATTTTACAGTGCTAAGCTGCCAGTGTATTATCTAACGGATAGGAAAGTATCTTGTAAGAGTTAGCAATGCAAAACTAGTATAAAAACTCTGCAACCTGGTAACTGGTGTGCTTCATTAAGTAACTGTCTTGTATATTGATGCTTGCTAGGATCTGATAGTTCACGTGAGGGATATTACTCACCCAGAAACCGCCCTCCAGAAAGCAACCGTTCTGTCAGTTCTGAAGAATCTTAACCTTCCCAGCCATTTATTGGACTCAATGGTAGAAGTTCATAACAAAGTGGATTTGATAGAAAGGTAAGCAGGAGTGGCTTCTGTGGGAAGGTGCCAGTATAAAGTAACACAGTTAAATTGTCCATTTTGGACAATTGAAAACTTGGAATGTTTTCACAACCTAACCTTCATGAGCAAATGTGCTAGCAATTGTTACCTTTCAGGTATAGACCTACTGAAGAAAATGCTGTAGCCATTTCTGCTCTGCATGGACATGGTTTAGAAGAGCTGAAAGAAGAAATAGAGAAAAAAATTTTGACAGCAACAGGGAAGAAGATTCTGACAGTTAATGTCAACTTAGAGGGACCTCAGCTAAGGTAAATTATTTTGAATTGTAAGAAGCACTTGGAGAAATATGAAACTCTCACTCTTGTGTGTCTTAACATTTCTGAATCATATTATAGTGATTTTAATCTGCATTAAGAATTACAGGGATAATTATAAAAATTTTCTGACCTATTGAGAAAAAAATAACCCCATTAGATACCCAGGAGTCTGCTTCTCAAAGTGTCCTTCACAGAACACTGTGTGTTAGTGCAATAAAACATAGTTCCTGAAAGACCGTGCCACTGGTCCTGGTGCCAGATTTCTGATAAAAGCACAAATCCGAAAGATCTATGAAAACACTCTACCCTATTTCCAAACAGCAAATGAAAAGTTAAGTGAAGCACTCCATCTTTTCAGGTGTTAAATTACCTAGATGGGAACATGTTGCCCTAAAACAAAGATCACATTTTATGCAGTGAGTCATACCTCTCAGATGCTAACATGGTTTTACTTTTACAGTTGGCTCTATAAAGAAGCAACAGTTCAGGAAGTAGAAGTCCTGCCCGAAGATGGCACAGCCAGGGTGAAGGTGATAATCGGCAGCTCTGCTCTGGGCAGATACAAAAGCCTTTTTCCCAACAGTAAGATTTTTATGCCATGAAACTTCATCCTTTTCCAGGAAAAGAAACTCATTTCATTCAGAGGATGTGAAATAAAGTTAATGACCTGTTATCCTGGGTGTGGAAGAGGGTATTTCTTCCACAGTTGATGTTTTTCACACATTTTAGAAATGGATCCTGTTTCAGAAAACTTCTGTGTGGAAGCAATAAAAGCTTTGAGCTTCATTCTGTCAGGAAGTGCAAGAGCAGCACTATATTTTTAATGTTTAAACAGTTGTTGGCTATAAGCTGTGGACCTCAAACACACGGAAAGCACTGGATGGCATCTGAATTAACCTTCAGAAAAGTACCAAGTTTCTTATATCACATAAAGAAAGCTTTTTACCTCATTTTTCAAAATAAAATAATATTTCTTATAGTTAAGGTGTCTCAGATGGTCCTTGGCAAATGAAAGTTAGTGAACAAAATGATGTTGTCTGTATAAATAATACAGATAAATATGTATTCAAGCAAAATGCATGAACCTAAGTAAAATAACTGCTGTGCCTTATTGCAGTGAGGCAAAAAACCATAATTTGTATATTTAAGCAATAAATAAAAGTTAGCTGTGAACATCTTTTACCCATACAGTTTTCTCGCCTACAGTAATTTATCTACGATGCCAATTACTGTGTCTGTTCTTAGAGAAAACATCGAAGGTACAGCAAACCATGGATTTTGTGTGAAATTATTTCACAAAGAAAAAAAACCCCAAAATCTGATCCATTACTTGAGTTATGAATTACTGCTGGGAATCAATAAAACAATCAGTATCGCGGAAGACAGAAGCAGAACTATTTCAGTCCGTATTACACAGAGGTGAAGTTTTATTGAATAGAGTAACAAGCCACTTGAGGGTACAAAAGCTGATAGGCAGAAAACCATTCTGAGTATGCATAACATAGCACTTCATGCAGGTAGTGACTAAAAAAAATCAAAACTGAATGTGACTGCTCAGTATGAAGTACACAGGGGTAAGAACAAGGATTAAAAAGCACTGTAAAAAAGCATTTAGAAAGTCTTTATAAACGGAATGTTTAGGTTTTTACTCCTACATACTCTGCAATTGCAAGAGATTGCATGAGGAGGTAGCATCTTGACCTTTCGTGCTGAGAAGTCTAGGGTGAGTTTGGTCTGATGGCAAGTAGCCGTTGATTAAAAACTTCTGCAAACATTAACATCCTGCCCGATATTCAAACCCAGCTTTTGCATATAAAGTGCATCTAAGAAGTGAGGTATATTGATGAAGTTGCATAGTGAACTTTATACAATGCCTGGTTTTGTTTTAGTCCCAATGCTTGCCATTTCTCCGACCTTCATGGCCATCTGTTATTGCACAGTTCGTTTAAAAAAATTAGAAAAATAGGATTAATATGCAATGGCAAACAGCATAAAACCCCTTCATTTTTACATAAGCAACAACTACTTATTGAGAGGAAAAATAATTATAGAGCTACTAAAATAGCTAAATAAAAGACTAGGTGTGAAACCCCAAATGAGCATGACAGAAGCCAAGAAACTACGTTTCTAGAGCAGTCTGAGTTTAGATAAGGAATTTGTTTTGTATGTGTTTATTTTCAAATGTAAGGTGTGTTTTGGCAACACCTAATATAACACGTTACCACAGACAAAACTGTCTAGGGGCCTAGTTTTGGTATCTTTATCACTGGAATGAGTGATAAAAAGAATAAATACACATTCAAATACACATACCTCTTATAAATCATAAAGAATTTTGTGGCTTCCCCGTTGGTAAAGGGGCTCACAACTGATACTCCGCACACAACAACAGTACAGCTGCTTCTACATCTCCAGTGTTAATGATGTGTTGTCATGTCAAATGGGATTGTCAATACACTATCTTTGATATATCAAAAATATTTTTAAACTGTTTTTTTTGTATATTTAATGCAAACTGTGAAAACAGACAAGTCAGTTTCACACTGATATAAAAGACTGACATTGGGGTTGCAAATACTGCAGAATATCTTTACAATTATAAGAAAGAGATAATCTTGATCACAAAATAATTCCTGCAGCTACTGACATATTTCTCCTTCTTGCTCATATGTGAAATAAAATAAGATTAAGTTGTTGGGACTTAGAATATTGCCAACTGCTACGAAATCTAAGCACCTCCAAATAAATTACACTTATACCATAGTTCTCTAGAGAGTTCAGCAAGGTCTGCCTGCTCTCTTTGCTGTGAAAAAGCCTTGAAACCCTGATGATGTTGAGAGCATTTTTCGTACCGAGTCTTTAAAATATCCCTCACTTAAGTTAACTGGACCTTTACGGGATCCAGGGTGTTTAAACCAGGGCAGATTAAATGCAGACAAAGCCTTTACAGCTTGTCACAGAATAAGAAACTGAGAATGAAATGCTATTTGTTGCAGCCCCTTTACTCTGACAGTGTAATGGAGGATTAATTTTTCTGTTAAGTTCTATCACATCTTTGACAAAATCATCATTTCCTATAAAGTCTCCAGCAATTATGTTAATACATTCCTTTTTTGGTCCTGGATGCTGCTGCTTTATCCAGATTTTCAAGCATGGAAGACTCTGGAGTGTCATTTTCTTCAGTGATCCAAATGGGTGTGTGAGAATATAGCTTAAATTTTCAGTAAGGTTAATCCCCGCTACAAAGAATTTTTCTGGAAAAAAAAAAAAATCAGAAGGCAACACATTAAACATTCCTTTGAGGAGAACAGAAACTGCTCGGCATTGCATTAACTCCAGATTTCGTTCCTCTGGGAATCATTAAAATACTAACTTCATACACTTTCTGTATTCTTTCATATCCCCAGAACTGTTTCAGTAGACTGTCTCCACTTGTTGCAACTGCATGCTGTAGCAAACAGGTACTGGACTCTCATTGAACCATTCCAGTTTAGCTAAATTTATCTAAATTATTCATTGCAGACTAAAGGTTCTCCATGAACCAGTCCTCCTTTGTAAATAACATTTGTTTCTCTAAGGGTTGCTTCCAAATACTTAGCCTTCCCCCGTGACGGGTGGGAACACAGGGTGCACCTACATGAGTGTTTCCCTTTGGCTGGGGAGTGTGCTTTTGGAGCAGTTCCCCCCTTCGTCACCCCATGCGTTCACATCGCAGCGCTGCGTCAGAGGTTATGAGCTGGATTTCTTTCAGCTTAGACTACACCAGCGTGCTTGAGCGCTGCTATTTCCTGAGGTAGCTACAGCCTCCACACACCTTTCTTGTTGGGGTTTGGAGTGGGTCCAGCCGAGGGCCAAAAAAAAATGACCGGGGGGCTGGAGCACCTCCCCTGTGAGGACAGGCTGAGAGAGCTGGGGTTGTTCAGCCTGGAGAAGAGAAGGCTCCGGGGAGCCTAGCAGCCTGCCAGTGCTTAAAGGGGGGCTACAGGAAAGGTGGGGGCGATCTTTTTAGCAAGGCCTGTTGCAATAGGACAAGGGGTAATGGTTTTAAACTAAAAGAGGGCAGATTTAAACTAGATACAAGGAAGAAATTTTTTACACTGAGGCTGGTGAAACACTGGCACGGGCTGCCCAGAGAGGTGGTAGAAGCCCCATCCCTGGAAACATTCCAGGTCAGGTTGGACGGGGCTCTGAGCAACCTGCTCTAGCTAAAGATGTCCCTGCTCACTGCAGGGGGTTGGACTGGATGGCCTTTGAAGGTCCCTTCCAGCCCAACCCGTTCTGTGATTCTGTTCCATGCTTCTGTAACGTATTTCCCCCACCACCAGTGCTACCTAAAGCAGCGAACACAGGGCTGAGGAAGCAGTCTCCTACCCGTGAGACAGGCATGACAGCGCCAGCGAGCTGCTCTGTGCAGAGGGCTGCTTTTCCATGGGATCACACAAGTGAAGCAGCTACCGCAATTTACAGTCTACACATGTACATACACTGATGCGCGTACTTGTACCGCCGAGGACGAACAATGCACTCACCCATGGGTGGGCAGAGCACTCAGCAACATGGGTGCATCTCATGCACACAGGATGCACAAAGGGGTTACATCCTATAATGCTACGATCGCCCAACTTCCTATTTGTTTTGCATTGCTGTATGTGCCCCTTGTTTCCTCCGAGCGACAACCTGCGCCTACCTGGCCGGCCCATCCGCTTCATGTGCTCTAAATACTGGATAAGAGCACAAGTGGCAGTTTTGTTTCCCCACCAGTACGGGATCGCAGGCCACAGCTCACAGTGCTCCTCCGCTTCCACGTCCTCCTCATATGAGACTATAACCTGATGGCCACGCTGCCACATGGTCCTCAGTGTTGGCACCACCTAAGAGAAAGCGTGCCCAGGTTGAAGTTGACAACACAGCAGTGTTCCCAAAGTTCACATACTGACATGTGACATCACCTTGGTAGAGAGGCACAGATTCAGTTTAAATAAAGCTTTTAAGCGTACAGCCCAGTAGGTTGTTGGCTGGGTTACAAGCTACAGGGGCAACAGAAGGCTGGGAACTTCAGCAGGTTCTTCCTTTCCTTGAACAACTCAACTATGGTAAAGTACATATAACCATAGAATGGTTTGGGTTGGGAGGGACCTTAAAGATCACCTAGTTCCAACCCCCCTGCCGTCGGCAGGGACACCTTCCACCAGACCAGGTTGCTCAAAGCCCCATCCAGCCTGGCCTTGAACACTGCCAGGGAGGGGGCAGCCACAGCTTCTCTGGGCAACCTGTGCCAATGTCTCACCCCCCTCACAGCAAAGAACTTCTTCCTTACATTTAATTTAAGTCTCCCCTCTTTCAGTTTGAAACCCTCGTCCTATCACTACCCTCCCTGACAAAAAAGTCCCTCCCCAGCCTTCCTACAGGCCCCCTTTAAGCACTGGCAGGCCGCTATAAGGTCCCCCCGGAGCCTTCTCTTCTCCAGGCTGAACAACCCCAACTCAAGGCCTTAACACCTATGCAACAGGAAACCATCCCCGTGTCAGCCCTTGTGCACATACCACTGCTGAAAATTTGTTGGGAGAGGAAGACAAAGGCCATTTGGTGAAAGGAGGTAGGAGGGAGGCAAAGCCCCACACCCAGCTGTAGGAATACAGACACAGAGAAGCAGCAATAATTTTGGCAAATGCCCCACATTGATGGCTACAGTGACAAATCTGCATCAAAGAAAATTCAACTGCTTAAGACTTGGTAAGACTAAATGTAAGTCTTCAAGAGATATGTTAATTGCGATTTCTCCAACTAGAAAGTTTCTGAAATTGGGATGCTCCAGATGTTTTGAATTGAGAGAGGGGAAGACTTGAGTCAGAAACTTTCTCAGACAGACAGATGGGCTGAAACAGGTCTGTTAAATTCAAGTGTTTCAATATGAAATTTACATTTTTCCAATCCTCAAGAGTTACCATCAGACAGAACTGAGGCACTCTGTCTAGTTTTATTTGCAAAACCAATGTATTTCACAGGTATTGTTTTTTTAAGAATGTTGTGTTTAAAAGCTGTGTCTGTTGCTTAAGGAAGGGAAATGGTGGCTTTTTGATGTTCCAAATAATCCAATCCTCAAGATAAAAGCCAAAGGCAGCTGAAAATGTGTTATGTAAATCTTTGAAGACAGCCAAGCGTTGAATGAAGATGGAAATCCCTCTTGCTTCATCCAAGAAAGAGAGAGTGCAAGCCCAAAGAAGGTCAGAAAATACTGCAAAATTAAGACATGCTACTCAAACTACAAAAATTTGCGGTTGACAGAAGCCTTTGCTTTTCTCCAGCTGCCTTTCTAAAGCTGGAACCTCTTAAAAATAAAAAAAAGGTGGTGGGATAAAAGCCAAAAAAAAGCTACCAGAAATGTGTACATGAGCACAGGTGCTTATTTCGCAAACAAAGCAGAAATGAAACTGTAGATGTCTAACAAGGGATTTTTAAACCCTAGTAATCTAGATCAAAGGAAGACACCTTGAATAGTTAAGGCAATTAAAATTTTTAACACAGTGTAATGTTATCACGCTGTGGCCTGTGCTAGTACTACATACAGACCTCTACTTGGCAGTTGCTTTATAAAAACTTCGATGCTTACTTTTGTACAATGACAGAGTTGCAGTCTGGAAAGACAGTAGATACCAGACTATTTTAGAATAAGGGAGCAAGCACTTGGTTATTTGATGTTAAATCTGAATCAGTGATCCTGAAAAACCCCACAGCTACCTAACCTGCAACAGTATGACTTGCAAAAATAGTGAGATCCATTGTGCTGGTCACAGACCCCATAGAAATAAAGTCTTCCCACTTGAGGGAAGTACTTGGCTTCTCTCTTCCCCAGTGCACTTCCTCCCTCCCCATGGACACAACTCACAATGTTTTTCTTTCTTCAGTTCAGGCGATCTCAAACCACTCATTCGTCACTTTCGCTCAGTGAACTACCAGAAAGCAGCTTGCCCCTTCTGCAATTAACTTTTTTTCTTTTTAAGAGCTGGCCATGTGTCTGAAAGCAAATTTGACCGTCCTCTCCAGTATTGCTCTGCTCATCCACAACTTACACACTCAAGTTATTCGGGAAACAATAAAACAGTGTCTCTCAGGTCTTCAGTTATTCAGCTGAGGCCTGACTATTCAGGATCCCCTAGTTTTGCTGAGAATCATTCTATTTTAACTCTGCTGTACAAAATGCTTTGAAATGGTAATACTCATCCTTTACTGACACACCAGCTTCAAAGGCTGAACTGGAATCACAAACAGGGTCATCATTATCCTGTACCCTCACATCTCCAGAGAAAACGCTCTGTTCCTGTGCATCTTTGAAATGTTAATAATTTAACTACTAAAAGCTCCCACACCTTGTAAAAAGAGGAAGCTAAACATCTCAACTCCTAGAATTTAGAAATCAAATAATTTCTGATTATTTAATTTAAGACTTTTCTGGAGTTTGGGTGACTGAAAGCATATTAGGCTGGTTGGAAGGTCAGCTCCAGCTCATGTCCAGGAAAGAGAGTCAATGCCACCAGAAATGCACTGAGGGCAGAGATGCTATCCAAGAGGGACCACGACAGGCTGGAGACATGGTCTGATAGAAACATCACGGAGCTCAATAAAGACAAATGCAAAGTCCTGTGCCTGAATGGACTAACCCCATGCACGAGGACAGATTGGGGGCAGCTAGCTAGAAACCTGCTTTGCAGAAAAGGACCTGGATGTCCTAGTGGACACCAGGCTGAACATGAGCCAGCAGCATGCCCACGTGGCAAAAGTCAACAGCAACCTGGGCTGTATTAGTACAGGCACAGACAGCAAGTCAAGAGGAGGAGTTCTTCCTTTCTATTCAGCAGTTGTGGGGCTGCATCTCAAGTACTGTCTCCAGCTGGGGCTTCCCCAGTACAAAAAAAAAGTCATTGACATGCTGGACTGAGTCCAGCAGCATGCAACATGTAAGAACAGTCCAAGACAGCTGGGTCTTACTGCTGCTTGCAAATACCTGACGGGCAGATGTAGAGAAGACTCCTCAGATATGCATAGCAAAACGATGAAAGTCAGCAGACAAGTTACAGCAAGAGAGATTCTGATCAGGTAGATAAGGAAAACACATTCACTGTGAGATTGGTCAAATGTTGGATCGGGCTGCATAGAAAGTTGTGGAACCTCCATCCTCAGATTCAAGAATGGACGGGACACAGCCCAGTGTAACTTTGAAGTTGGTCCTGCTTTGTGTGGTAGGGTTGGACCAGATGACCTCTAGAGGTCACCTGCAACCTAAACTATTATAAGTAGCATTAAAATTCATTTCTAATTATTGCTGCGAAAAGGCAGTCAACAGATTCTTTAAATTCTATAAATATAGTATGGACTATATTTATAATGCACACACCTTTTCTTTTTTTAAAAAAAAAACCACAACACAACAGGACAGTGGATGACAGTTGTGTCCCTACTATTGTTCGACATCTCAACAGACATGACAGTCAAATTCAATTCCCTCCTCCACACTGTGAGATGTAGGTTTGCTTTACCTCCTCAGTTTTATGAGGTAAAGACCTATCTCTGATGCACCAAGTGTTACTTTTCCTAGGTTAAAGTACAGTGAAAGTAGAATACATCTAAAAAATTGGAATCAAAATCTCACTTTAATATATCATTATTAAAAAAAGGATGTTGTACTTACATTTCTGGGACACAGTTTACACTGGAAAATCTCTTTTATACAGGCAATAAGAAAACAATGAAGTTTCTTGGTTAATCCATCAAAATTCCTGCAGGCTAAGATAACAACTTCCTTAGGATGAGTTTCCAACCACCTTGACACTTCCCACAGAATATCCTACAAGAGAGAGTCATGGCAACTTAGAAAATTCTCTATGCTATCCAGGGGAAAGGACATAAAACCAACAGAGCATTGACAGTGGGGTAGACTCACAATCACAACAGTGAAAATCAATGTAGATTTCTGGCGGAAGGCCATCTGAAAGCCCACAAGGTGGTCCAGAAAGATGCACCCCAGGAAAGCCTACTTTCTGCAGGTCTGTGCTGGTTTGCTTTGGATGTGGTTCTACACTTAACAGCTTTGTATTTTGGTAATATCCACGAATCTCCTACTGCTTAGAGGCAGGTTAGCAGTAAACCCATCTCCCCAAGCTTCTTTAAGGACAAACAATGTATTAGAGGCAAACTCAAAAACAGGAAGAAGTTCTGTGCTTGCTTAACATAACAGGACCCGTTTTCCCCATTTGTTATGGGCAATGACAACTTCTTGAAGACCACAGATAATTAGCAGGGTAGCCAGGCACTGCGTCTAACTGTTTACATGAGCATGGCAGTCACCATGAAATCTCAACGCATGAAGGGTTCAGACTCATGAGCATGGAAGTGAAGTTTAGCTAGTTAGCCTACAAAAAGCTGCATTAGCTGTCTGTGCCTGGCTGTACAGGTCCCAGCAAATGGAAAGAAGATGTAAACTACTCCACAGTGACAGAGCGCATGCAAAGAGCAACTCACAGTAGTTTCTTCACAGCAGTTGACAATAATTTGATCATGGGATCCAGATTTGAGACTCTGTCTTTCAGTGAAATACTTTTTCCTCAAAAAAAGTGTTTCTGTGATTGTATTAGGCTTTTAGTACCACTTTCTCTTTAATAACCTCTCTCCTTACTGGGGAAACTGCACTGCCTTGGGTAGCATGCTGGGACAACACAAGATAAACCCCAGAAACACCAGGCACTTGGTAGGGGCAGAGCAGTGGAGAGCAAGGCACTGCAACTCCGGTTTGAGGATGAGGAATTGATTGATGCTCTAGTCTCACTTGCAGCTGCTGAAACTAATTTCCAGTCCTGCTGATTTTCTCTAGTTTGAAGTCCTCACATTAGGAAAGCAAATAACCTACTCAGAAAACCTTGGGCCAGCATTTTCAGATTATGATGGCTCTTAAATGAAAGAAACAGCACTGTTTTTTAATAGCCATCCCAAAGGTAAGGACAATACCTTTACAGTAACGGTTGTGTAAACCATATGCACGAAGTACAAATTCATAGACGGATCGTTAGCCTTGTGGGCAATCCTGAAATCCAGATATCTAACTCCGGCCTCAAGTTGCTCCGTCACAGTCAGTACCTGAAAGGTGAAGAAGACAAAGGTCCTGAAAGCTTGAAAGAGATTTGTTTCTTTAGTTTAGAAAGCTGGAAAATGTGTACAAAGTTAGCCCTATGACATCTGTCCCAGGTCTTTCATCTTTAAAATGGCACTATATAGCACCAAGTGACAACTTCGAAGTATTTTACTCTTTGACAAGAGGGACCCAATTTCCCTGTGGCATAGACTGCAAGTACAGATTAGATTAATTTCAGACCTCTGCCCTTGTTGTGTTCCAAAAGTTAAAGACCCATTAACCCGTGCGTAAATACACGATCACTCTTCACAAGACTATACATATGAACAAAAATTGCAGGATCAGCACCTTAGAAGTGCTGTATTTATCTTATTAGATCAAAGACTTTACCATGGTTGTCTCCGCGGAGCTCGCTCATCCTCCACAGAAGGAAAAACAAAAAGAGAAAAAAGTACTGGCTATTGTTCTTTTTCAAGATAAAGTCTTAAAAAGTTTGGATTAACCTGTAGAAGTGCTACAAAACAGCAGTCCTTCTCTATTTCCACTTCCCTCAGAGCTCTTCTATCGGATTTGAGGGCTGAATGGAACAGGTAATAAAGCTGATTTTCTGGGGCAAAAAGTCCCAAATCATATGTCTCTTATCTATATCAAGGCTCTCTTTGCATAAGAAAATAGAATCAAGTTAATTAAATATGTTCAAACACTAATTTGTCTCAGTTCAACCTGCTATAGACAACACTTTCAGGTTTCAGAAAACATACACTGTACTGCTTTAAATCAGAAAGGATCCAACAAAAGCTAAATCAATACAAGGAGTTTCAGCTGAATAACCACACTTGTAGCTTTAGGGAGGAGACAGAGCTTAAGACAAGTGGCAGGGTGCTCACCCTGCCTAGCTTCAACCACCTAACTTTCTGTTCTTGGGACTGGAATTTAATCTCCCCAGGCTGTGCCTGAGCTGCAGGGCTGGGGAGCAGCCCAACCCCACACGCCCTGGGGTGCAGGTGGTGCGGTGGCTCTGGCCAACAGCTCCCTCTGTGCCTGCTTGGTCTCCACCAGGCTGGAGCACTTGAAGGAGCGATCCATGCCCAAGCCCCACCTTCGCTTGGAGCACGCTGGAGATGGGAGTGTATGTGGCTGTAGGTCATATATAACCTTTGTGGCCAGAAAGAGCACCAGATGAATAGCTGGTCTGAACTGCCCTTTGGATTAATTAATTTCTTTCTGTTGGCTGCACAGGAAAATGTGACAAATTAGACTCTCTAATTAGTCACTTGGGTTAGGATACTGAATTAGACAGTGTGAGCATTGCCCCCCAAGGGCAAAATTTAAGAACAAGCCTTGGGGAACATGCCGCTCAGCACCGCAATCTCACACCAGACATCCAGGGCATGGAGTGGAAGTCATACACCTGACATGAGCCATTGTACAGGAAAGATTTGGGCCTCTAGACTGACACTCATAACAGCCAGGGCTCAAGCCAGGCACCACCTCCTACGCACTGGGCCATCCAGGAACCTGTGGCTCCTATCATTGGTAGGGCTTCTTGATGTCTGTTCTCGCTACCAACAGGTGGAGTCAGCTCCTTGCAAAGACAGCTCAAGCACTGCAGAGCTAAGGAGGGGCAGGATTGCAGCTGTGTCTCTTTCCCATCAGCGCCAGCTGATCAGTGGGACTCACTTCCCACTCAGCACGCTGGGTTCAGACCAGAAAATGACTATAAAGATGTAAGAAGCTTGTTTGTCACCAACAGGGTCACTTCACTGGCCAGCAACTCACAAGTGAGGAGGTATCTAAATCTTTCACTGGCTTAAGTCCCAAAGCAAAAAACCAGCTCAACACGAGGCACTGTGCTAAGCAAGTGCATTTCCACATCAACTCATCACTGCTGTTACATATTCAATATCTGGTAGTGTCTAAAACTCCAGTTTGCCAGGGCTGCTCAAATACAACAGAAGAAGCCTAGGTATAATTATTGACATTTACCAATTATTCAGTTTTAATTCACTAATAATTAAGTATTCCTTCAATATGAACAAAGGTGAAAAGGTTTTTGGTACCTCTTTGATGCCAGGAAAATCTGTTCTTTAGAAAATTCTTAAAAAGCTTTAGCTTAAACCATGATCCCAAATTTTGTCTTTAATATACGTTTGCAAGGAACAAAGAGATAACTACCAGCTTAATATTTAGACATTTAAAAAAATTAACTAAACCTTACATGAGGGATCACACCTTCATTCTCTTAATCTTTATGGAAAAAAAATTCCCTTCAACAAGATTTTTGTTTCTGCTTCTGGATGGAATACTTAGACAATACAGATGGGGAAAACAACTAACATCTCACACAACAGTAATAGTAAAAATGACAGGCATTATCTTCTGAACAGAGTGCAAGACAAAAAATTCTTTCAGTTATAGTAATATTAAATGTTATTTATAACACAATAAACATGTGAAAAAGAAAATGAGTTTCTAATACCAAGTGGTCAGCTTTAAGCAACCTCTTTGTCTATGTATCATCCCTGCCTCAGCTACATGCTTTTTCCCCACAAAAGATCTGGTATGTATGGTACCTATCTCATACCCCAGGGTGCTGGTTTTGGCTGGAATAGAGTTAATTTTCTTCACAGTAGCTAGCGTGGGGCTGTGGTTTGGATTTGCGTGGAAAACAGCACTGATAACACAGGGGTGTTTCAGTCACTGCTGAGCAGGGCTCGCACAGAGCCAAGGCCTTTTCTGCTTCTCACCCCACCCCACCAGCAAGCAGGCTGGGAGGGCACAAGGAGCTGGGAGGGGACACAGCTGGGACAGCTGACCAGAGGGATGTCCCATACCATATGACATTGTGCTCAGCATATAAAGCTGGGGGAAGAAGAAGGAAGGGGGGGACGTTTGGAGTGATGGCGTTTGTCTTCCCAGGTCACCGTTACATGCATGACTCCTGCTGTCCTGGAGATGGTTGAACCCCTGCCTGCTGATGGGGAGTGGTGAATCAATCCCTTGTCTTGTTTTGCTTGCAAGCACAGCTTTTGCTTTACCTATTAAACTGTCTTTATCTCAACCCATGAGTTTTCTCACTTTTACCCTTCCAATTCTCTCCCCGATCCCATCGGGGGGAGTGAGACAACGGCTTGGTGGTGCTTACTTGCCGGCTGGGTTCAAACCACGATACCTGCGCAGGGTATCTCATGAAAGCACAGATTTCTGGGCAGCAAGCTGTTGTTTCATTGTGCACAAGAGCGCTTGACCACTCTCAGCACTTCAGCCCAAGCTTCAGCTTTTCCCAGGCATGACAAGAATGCTAAACAACAGTTACCTGTGTTGTAGACCACTTCATGATAATGGGGTGCACAATGCAGGGCATACATTTGTTTAAAAACTTCACCAGCTTGGACTCATTGCCACTAACAGCAGAGTTTTTATCCAAGCAGTACGTCATAGTGTCGTGACTCCCTGTAGAATATAAAAATAAATGTCAGAAAATGTAGTTTCTTAACCACCCAAGACCACAATACATGGTTATATTGTGTGCACACATCTGATGTGCCACTCCATTTCCAAATCACACACCTATATTTCCTGACAACCTATGTAGTTATGGCAAAAATGTGGGCTCTTCCACAGAGGTTGCTCACCTGACATTAATGAGCTTAGTGTAAAATCCTCCTGAAGGGAAGGGATCAAGACTTTTCAACAAAGCAGTCCCCATCTAAACTACAAATATTTGTTGTTTGCCTCAAACCACAACAAAATGGCCTGTTTCAAATGGCATCTTCCACTGAAATAAATGTCTTGATGTGAAAACCCACTTTTTTCAGGGAATAAATAGCCAAAGGCTGAATTTATCTAGAATTTGTCCTCTTTTCAGAGTTGTCCAAATGCAGGATTTCGTACTCCAATCCCATCATCTCTGCACAGGAAAGCATGACTGAAAGCAGAAATTCATCTTCTTATACCTTTGACTGGACCAACTCCTAACTCAGCACTTAGAAACTTTTATATCTTAAATATCGAGTAAAAATGCCCTGAACTAAACACCCACGTCCCCTGCAAAATCAGCGCAAAAGGTGGGCACTTGAAGATTTCAGAGGCAAATCCAAGTCTAAGTTTACATGTAATAGATGAACAAGATCCACCTTTTATGGACTTCAAAAATTATCTGACTGTCTCCAGCACAGGGAATTACATAGGGGCAGGCTAAGCATCAGAGCCAAGCACAGCCTGCCTAAATATTTGACTTCTTTGAAGTCTTAATAAATCTGACACATCTCTTGCATCAGGTTTAGGTGAAACTTTGTTGCAACTCACAATTTCTTCAGGACAGGCAACCAGCGATTTTGCTAGCTCTTTCTGTTCCATTATTTCTTCTAATTTTATAAAGCATCAATAACAAAAGCTAACAACTCAGTGAAGTGACTTGCTGGGACCTTTACAGAGTATCTGCAAGGAATTTGCATATCATTTTGGTTTTTAATTCTTCTGTCAAACAAATTGTTCACTGGTGCTAGGAACTGCCTTCTTGAACAGTCAATCTTAACTGCTGCCAATGGCAATATTTCTAGTAGCCAAAGAAAAAGGACAAGATTATATTTGAAATAGAGAAAATTCCTTGAAACTGTCAATAATAATGTCCCACTCAATTTTTTCACCTTTTAAAACTGGGTTTCCATCTATCTTCCTGCTTTAAACACCCAAACAAAGGTCATTGCAGATGGAAGACTGATAATGAAGGCATGCCATGAAAGAAGTTTGTCTTACAAGGTGTAAGTCAGACCATTAAATACCCACGGACCAAATCCAAGTCTGAAAGAAGTGAACAGGATTCCATCAATGGGCATTTCTCTTGATGATCTTAGAGGTCTTTTCCAACCTTAATGATTCTATGATCTACTGATGCCAATCAGCAAACAGATAGAAGCCTTCCAGCCAGGAGTCTTCTTGTAATGTCAGTGAGTTACAGTAATGAAAGGAAGATGAGTATATCCATGACACAACAAATATGATGCAAAGATAGTGAGCTAGCACCAAACCAGGAAGCACCAGAGCTTGAAGCAACATCTCCCCAGCAGCACTATGCTGGACCTGGTGCAAATACAACACTAATTACTGAGACTTGCCTCTGTCTCCTCGTCATGCTTTCAGAATGCACTGTCTCACATTTCTGGCATGCCTTGTTGGCTTCTCTATCTGAGATAAGCTTCCACTTCCAAACTGGGCTTCCCCCAGTCATTGCTCCCTCTGAAAACCTGCTGGAGCTGTCTTGACCTGGCTGATCTTGATCTGGTTTTGTTCTGACCTGGGCTAGACCAGTTTTGTAGGTCAGCTGGACAGCCACCAAAATCTTCCAAGCTAATAGCCTGCAGTGCTCTGTAAACGTCCTCCAGCGTTTGCTGAAATGGGCTTGTCTTCATCTATTCTTTACTTCACGCCTGTTCTCCATGCAGGCATATTCACAAGAAGAACAGACACTCACAAGAATAACAAGGTCACCGTTAGGAGAAGAGTCAGGAAGTCAAAGGCACACGTGAGCAGGTTGTCAGCTTTCTACAATGTCCAAGAAACACCACTGTGAAAGCTTTTTAGGAACAACGTGGTCCTCTCCCACCAAAAAAAAAAATAATCACTGAGCATGCTACTGACTTTTTGAAGGATTTTTGCAAAAGGAACAAAAAAGAAAAAAAAAAAAAGAGAAGAATATTACCGTCTTTCTTCTGTCGTAAGACAGATTATCTCTTGACGGTTAAATAAGAAATCTAGAATTTTTTTGTAACATCTGTCTTGAGGTCCTCTCACATAGGCTTTATCCAAAACAAAGGTGTGCTTGTTTTGAAGTTAACATCAATTTAAATTACATATCCAAGAAGTCACTATGAAATAAGTTTCTGGGTTTCAATTTTAATCGAAACTCCACACTCCTTTAGCTCATGAAGGGCAGGGAAAAAAAAAAAAAAAATGAATCCACCACAGTTCCTGGGTCCTCCCAGGGCTTCACCCACTGAAGACAAGACTTGACTTTTCCCATTATCTCTAAACATACATCTTTGCTAAAGTTAACCTACGATCCTGTAGCCTACATAAAACATCCATCTACGTGCTGTGCTGCTTTCCACCCAAACTACCTGTCGCATCTGCAGGTGTGAGAGAAAACACTGGCTAGACTTTTCTTTAGTATCATTTTTGTGATGGAGGCAAAGGGAATCACTCAAGAGCTGACAGTCCTCCAGTGCCTCCCCATGCTCCAGTGAAAACAGGTTTTCCTGTAACTTCTTTAGACAAAATGAGTAGCAGAGAGAAGTAATAATTTGACCAAAGAAAGGCTGATGATACAAAGGCCTGAATTTAGTACCAATGAGGACATCAGCTACAGTGCAGCTCTATTTACCCATAATAGGATAAATCCAGTTTTTGTAAGCAGGGTCATGCGGAAAAGGCACACTCTACATTAATAAAGATGTACGTTAATTAAAAGTCTCCATCCTCCTTTTTTCATACCTTCACAGCCTCTTTCAAACAGTATAAAGAATCAAATCAATAAGGTAAAATGTTATTTCTCTCCTTTTGGAACCATTTTTTAATGTATTATGTAGGAAAATCTCACCTTTGCCCTGATAAACAAATACTCAGATTATTAACACTGATCTGACACGATGATGCACAAGGATTGCAAAAAAAGTCCCTCTTTCTTTCCTTCCCTCAAAAAATAAAGCATCATTTTTTCACCCTCCCCTCCAAGAAACCCCAAATATTACAGACTAAAAGTATTCACGTGCATTCACATGTCATACAAACTCTCCCCCATACCCTTCTCCCTCCCACACACTAATAATAAACATAGCCACCCTGAAATGGGACAAACAGGATGTTCCAATACGTAAACGACATGCTAACAAAACAGCGGAGAACAAAAGTTAATCTTTACCTGGAAGAGCTAAGTTATAGAGTGGAATATCCCAGAGCTTCTCTGGTAATCGTGACATCCATTGACCATTTTCATGGCACATATGAATGGAGGTTTGCAAAGGGCCTTCCATGAGTGTCTGCTCTATGCCTTCATAGGGTGTTCTGGAAGGGAAAAAGAAAAGAAAAAGAATAAACCATGCCCTATACTGTGGTTGAATTCATGCCACCGTACCTTCGCAGAATGGATTTATACATGCTATAAAACGTCAACCCTTCTCTCAAGCAGTTGCAGCAAAATGTCAAGAGCTTCTCAGGCCACAATATGCACTGGTTTTGATAGCATTGTCTCCCAGCACAATGCCAAGGCAGGGTTCCAGATTCAGGCTTGTAAATTGACCAATTCAGAGAAAAAACAGAGCCAAGGCAAATACATGCAGCTTCGTTAGTCATTTCTCTGTACCATCTACATTGGCTATGTGACACCATGAAGAGTAACATACCTCCAGTGTGAAGCAATGTCTGTTCCCTGGCCCTTTGCGGGCCCAGGAGCATGGCAGTGGGACCAACGGCAGGGCCAGGACAGGGGCTGGGTCTGCAACCCTTAGGCCCCTGGAGAACACTTGAAGAATCAATTCAGCTGCCACAACACCACCTCTATGAAAAGCCTTGACAAAGATATCGGGGCATTGTATTTCCAGGTCATGCTGGCTTCTGGGGTCAAAGAGGAAAACTTTCATCTTCTTATTCCCTGTTTTGAGAAGATCTCTTGATGTCTGTTCTTATCACCCCTACTGAGCCCATGATCATAAGTACTTCAGTTTGGTCAGACCTTCGTGAAAACTAGTCTGGAACTGTTCTTCTTGGATACAAGCCTCCCTGGGATCTTCTGCAAAATTTGCAATGGTCATGCAGGAGTGTCAGTGGATGAAACCCAGCTGAGAAATCATGGTCATCACTAGGGCCTACTAGAGTTATCCTGTTCATTTGTCATTTTATGTTCTCCTGGATGATGCAGAACATGAAGACAAGCTCTCCATGCCATTTTTTTCTTTCCTAGGACCTTCCTCAAGCTCAGGTGGTGTTTTGGGGATGAAAGCTTTCCTTCTTCTCACTGTTTTCGAGGCTTTAACTGTTTTTCCATAGCTATGTAGTGAGACACTTTCTTTTAGATCATGGCAGTGATTACCTATATTAATATCATGCCTTCCCTTTTTAATCCTTTTTAAAAAAGCTGTCGCTGTCAATGATTCCTTCTTGTCTGCTACAGCAATGGCAGTCAGATATGTATTCATGCAGATCCTCTGCTCTGCAAAACATCCTCACTGGTCCCTGGTCCCTTTTGCTGCACCTCAGCACATTCCTGAGATTGCTTCTCCCAAAGTATTCTTCAGGTTGTTTTTGGGAAGCGGTTGGTTTTTCTGGATTTACAGGCAAGCCATACTGTTTACATGAAGAACATTTCCTTAAACGTGGTGCAAGAGATTTTTTTTGGCAGTAACACAAGGTCATCTGGAAGGCAACTTTAGGAATTGCATTCCTAAGTTTTATGTCCATACTGCACACAGCAGATACAATCTGCTTCTGTATCTGCCAATGCACGTAGCATCACTCACCTAGCCTGCCTTGCTGTCAGTGCGGCTATGAATTGGTTTCTCTGAGTACAGCCACCCCAATTAAGATAAGAATGGGATGACATCAGCTGAGGGAAATGCCCAGCACCCCTGGCACAGTGACACAGGCTGCACATGTCTGGTGAGTAACTTGGGGCTTTCCTCTTGGTGAAGAGCAGCTACCTCTGAGGTTATCCATACATACAAGGCCATTGCGTAAGCAGGAACAAGTGGTTTAAACCCTCTCTTCCTCCCTTTGTCTCCTTATTTTAAAAACCAGATATTTGATGGGCCTAGTGCAAAGCCAAGTACAAAAACTTCCACGGATTTATTTAGAAAAAAAAAGGTGCAGATCTTTTTGTCCTGCATAAGCAAATGGTCTCTACATGCTCTTACTCTCGGAAAGACTCTTGCGATCTCAGGCAGACCAACTCATCCATCCTCTGCAATTTAACATGTCAAGCTTCTGCCTCATGCAGACCCCTTGCTCAGAAAACAGATGTCTGCAACTACTCTTGTCCCCTTTTGCTGTGTTTCCTGCTTCCTCAGACTGCATACCCCTGCTCACCCACGGCTGCTCTGCTCTAGTCTATGTACTATGTAGCATTAGTGTGAACAGAGGCTGCAGATGCTCAAACCAACATTGCTATTTAGTAGTTAGAAAAGACTGGATAGTCTTTCTGCTTCCTCAGCACTGAAGCTGACAGGAGCTGTGAGGCTGCAACACCCCAGCATATGGCAGCACTTATGCGGGTCCTGTACATGGACTAGAAACCTAACTATACGCACGGCTTTTCCTCTTTTCCTTGGGACCCACATCTCCCTTTCCAGAGCCTTTGGAGCTGCCTAATTCCACTGTCCCCTAAACCCACACACCCCACACACCCCCCCAGAGCAGACATGCAGGCTCCCTTTGCACAGACAGCACTGCCAGGATGCGTGTGAGGGTGCAGGTTTACCTGCTGCCACCCTCTCCTCCTGCCATGTGCTCTCGTCGCCTCGCTTGCGCTAATGCAGGAAAGTCCCACAGCTAACAGCAAACATCTGGTTTTCTGCCATGCTCGTCCCTTACACCAGTTCACCACCGAGTCAGATCTGCCCAGCACTGGCACACGATGAGGAAGCCCCTGTAGAGGCAGCAAGCCCCATGATCGGCATTGCCCTTGACGTTACCTGGCTGAAACCTACAGACAGCAGGTTCTCAGCCTGGCACAAGCTGCTGTCAATGGCCCAACCTCTGCAGGACCAGGACACTTCACAAGGACTGTCCTGCTGGGCCTGGGGAAAGCCAGCAGAGAGCAGAAACTGCAAGAGCAAGCCATGCTGTGGTCCTGCAAATACAGACATGTCAGAGCTTCACATGTCATCCTCCTCTTCTTCCCACCTCCCTCCACAGCACCCTGAGGCTGGGGGTGGCAGTCACTGGGAATGCACGGCAGGAGCAGCAGCAGCACCATGGCTGTCTGCTGATCAAGTCCCGTACAGAAGTGACTGGACCAGATTTCGGCCTGATCCCCTGCGCAATTCAAAGCCCTAGATGTTCACGCCACCCCCTCCAAACTCGGCTGCTACCTTGTGGGGTACCCTTTAGGGAGCAACCGAGGCTTGCCCGGAGGAATGAAATTACAACCGTTAGCTACTGCCTCTCGTGACTAAACCCGAAACTTTGCAAAGGAGAACCGTGCCTTTATTCCCCCCCTTGCAGACAGGCAAGTCCACCCTAAACACGTTGCCGTGATTAACTACCCCCACTCCCCTTGGTCACGCCGGCTTTCCG